CCCCCCCCCAGTGTCCACTATTGACTGCTGTGGAAATCAGGACACTGGGTTAGACAGACCCTTTTGGCTGACCTAGTTCAGCAGTTCTGATGATTTCATTCCTCCTAGCGTGTTTGCTTCTTGTGGTTCCCTGTGACAGTCTTGGCATGTGAGCATTTTTTCATTAAAAAAAACAAAACAGTGTGTGAGAGGTAGAGTTGTACAGGAAAAAAACTTTCTGCTGTGAGTGTTTATTGTGAAAAAGATTGAATTTGCGTGCGGAGACTCGGGGTTTTTAAGCTCAAGTGAGAAGCCCATGAGGAATATAATACTGCTGGTTAATCAACACCCTTTCACGTTCCCTATGAGATGACTAGTTCCCTTGGGGAGCAATTTATTTGGAGTAATAGCTAGTTTCAGGGGTTTTCTTGCAACTTGAGATGCAGATACATGCTTTAAATGCACTGAGTAGCATCAAAGTACTAACATGCTCTGTGTGCTCAAACCAACACGAATTTCTGTGCAGTCGGGATCATGGTTTAGGTTCATTCCTTGTAAAAATGGAGTGTCCTGGGACATACCAGGCATGTCCCTGTGCTGAGAGAAATCGTTGGCAAGATGCTGGGCAAGATGCAATACCTGTTCTCCATTGCTATCCAATAGGCTCTTTACCGTCTCCTACTCAGATGGGGCTGAAATAGAGGATTTGAAAAGCTTAGAAACAGGAATGACAAAGCAGTTGGAAAAGCAAGGAAGGAGTGAGTGGGAATCGGAAGGCGCATTTCGGCAGCACAGCTCTGCTGCTCCCATCTTTGTGGCCCAGATTATGTATTCACACGGTGTTGTCACATCACTTGCAAGAGAGTATACTTAATGTGCAAGCAGCTTCCTACAATTACTGTAGGCTATGTGTGCAAGAGGAGCATTTCTGGGATGAAATCTTATTAATTATGCATTGAGGTGTATGTCTCTGAATTGGTTTATGAAAGCTGCCTTCCAGACTCCCCCCTGTTGAGGCTATATTATTTTAACGTGGTGTGGGAAGGATAAATACTTGAAGCTTCTGGCTTTTGTACTTTCTGGCTTGTTTGCAGAAATTTTGAGAGTAAACACGTTAGACTTTAAAGAATCTAGAAACATCTCTGAGTTTGCTTTAAATTCCCAGTCACAGCTCATGCTTGCCTGTTCTACTCAGCAATGCTTACATAGTGGTATCTATTACTGCTAGCTCAAGAAGACTGAAAAACATTGCATTTTGTTCAGTATCTTTTTAAAAATCAATTAAAAAGCTTTTCTAAAATGGATTGAAGAGAAGAAAATAAATCATGTTCTGTTGGGTCTTTATTTCAATCAGATTTCCCTGTGTTGTGCAGGAGAAGAGACTTGGGGGTGGGGGGGCGGGCGTGTGTGTGCAGAATAGAAAGACTGAAAAGGACTGTCGCAGCAGGGAGCCAAGCGGGAGAAAAGGACTTCTCTGAGAACTAAGCAGCAGCAACTCCAAAAGCCGAAGCTGCTTCATCTACATGCAGAGTCACACAAGGCATGGAGACACTCACCAGCCCCACAGAGGTTTCACATGTGCTTCCCTGCTGGTTCCTGTGAAAAGCTAACAATCGGCTCACAGGGTGAAAGACCATCGCAGCATCCCTGCGCTAAGCTGGACGTACAATTTGTGCAGTGTTATGAAACGGCTGGCTTAGTGAGATGCTCTCGCCCGCTCTCGTGGATGCCCTTCCACTGCTACCAGAGGCCCCCAGCCCCTTTCCTCTCTGGGACATTGGAGGCTTTTGCTGATTTATGAAAGTTGACGGGGGTAAGGGGGAATAATCTCCTTGTTTGATACAATCCCAGATGCATTCCCTATTCCATGTCACTTGGTGTGAATTGGAAGCAACTCCAGTCAAGAGTGACGTTACATTTATACTTGTAAACCTGGGGAACTGTGTTTTCTCCCAATGCACGTGAAGAATTGTTGATACCCCATAACACATGACATAAAAATATACAAGGGTGCAAAGTTGAGTGAACAGCTGGTGGGGGACCGAGAGGCACTTCAGTAGTATCCCCCAGTACTTGGTTATAGCATAGCTCCAGCTTCCTTCAACTCCCCTCTCCTAGGGCTGGTTAGATTTGCTGAAGTTCTGTAATTTGAAACTCCACTGACATGTTGAGACTCTGTTTGCTTGTAGCAGAGTCTGTTTAATTCTTTTAAGTTCTGGTTTGTCTTCGGTAGTCAGTGCAGTAATGTGGTGCCCGTTAGGAAGTGAATAATGTGCTAGTGGAATCAGTCTCATAGTGCTTGAAGATGCAGTGGGTTACAACTACTTCCTCTTCATGGCTGAATCCCGTAGTTCTCTGCGTGATGGTATCCTTCCTTCAGATAAAAGCCCTGTAGTAGGGAGGTGAAATCTGGGGTTATCCCACTTCTAGAAGGCAACAGGGCAAGACACACACCTCTGCTGGGTATCCCCCGTCTATATAGAGGGATCTTGGGCTCTGCAAGCAGCCCAAGGCACTTTTATTGCCTAAAAATGGGTGGGATAACTCCAGACTTACGTGACATGTTTGTATCTAATCTCTGCTGATGGAAGAACTAGGCCTAGAGCTGCCCTGGTAACGAGGCTGACACCAAATGGTCTTAAGCTGTTGAAAAGCCATGTGCCTCCTTGCTTGGTAGTTACTCTCATTATCCCTGATTTTTGGAATTTCAGCTTGAGTCCTGATGGGCTATGGACTGAGCACAGGGCCCGTTGCCTTTGCAGTGGCTGCTGTATGGACTAAGGCAAAAATGTGACTATTTCTGAAAATGGGGTCACTTTAGCAGTAGGTCTCACAGCAGCAAGAGTAGATGCAGTGATACCTGTGTGTGTTGTTGCTGCAGAGCAAGTGGATGAAGACAGCTTTTCCAGTCTGACTTGATGGCTTTTTGTCCTAACGCCTGGGGCAAAACATTTGACTTGCAGGTTTTCCACTTGTCTGCTCAGCAAGTTGCCTGAAACTTTGCAAAGTACAAGGGCCTCCTGACACTTCATTTTCAGTTAGTAATTGATTAGCAGAGATTATGCTTGTTTAATGGTAACTGCTTTTCCGGTGGGTCCAGTTTAAAGGGAGCATTTTGAAGTACATAGCTTCTTTTGAAGAAAGCAAGGAAAAAATTGGAATGTTTTGGGTGGAGCTGTTAAAAATTTTTAAGCCCTGTTTTGCAGAGTACCCTGCTGTTCTGAGGAGTTTCCAACCATTCAGTAGTAAGTGGTTCAGGGTCCTGAGCATGGCTCTTAACAGAGATATCTAAAAATCACTGATGGATCTGATCTCTGTCAACTTGTCCTGATGCTTTTGAACCCCCTCAAGCTTTTGCCATTCTTAGCTGAACTCAAGCAAACATCCTTTTGTTCAGCTTAACTGGTGCTTGATGATTTCATGTGGTCCTCCCTAGTAGTTATTTTGAGAAGCAGCAGTTTTTCCCCTCATGTCCCCTCCACCATCTTACAGACCTCTCTGTTTACCACCTATCTTACCAAGAGTCTATTTAGGGAAGTTATTCTGTATTTCTGACCATCCCCATTGCTTTCCTCTGATTTCCCCAACTCAGTGGTGTATTTGAGATGGCTGGGATGGCACAGTGTCTTGAAGAGCACCCTGCATTCCTACAGTAGAATAATGACTTCTGTTTTACTCTTTTTTCCATCCTAAAAATGTCTGAGTCTTTGCGTTTTGAGTAAGGTTTAGCAATGAACTGGTGTTTTTACAGAAATGGCCACAATGACCAATTCCTGTGGCTTTCCTAAATGGTAATAAGTAATTTAGAGTAATTTTTGTGTGTGTGGTGATTGCCCAGTGGCCTGTTTTATGGCAAGTTTGGGATTGATCTGACTAAATGTGTCTGTCAGCAGTTTGGTTTTCTACGACTGAACTACTTGGTTAGAAAATAGTTTGCTGTATGAGTCCAGAGTGTGGGCAGCTTTTCTGGGAGGAGGTACGTGTCCTCTGGGCCCCATTAACTGAGAAATCAGAAACAAGGAAACAGAGAATGAGCCTAGACGTGGACACCTGTAGTTCCAGGAGGACAGACTCACCTCACTAATTACGTTTCTGTGCTGCTTACATCCTTTCCTGGTGAGACTTTTGGGTCTTGGATGACCCCAAACTAGACACCATTTCTTATTCCAGTCAAGCATGGACTTCATCAGTGTAGAAGTCGCTCAGGTAGCATCCTTCAAGCAGTTAGTCTGCAAGCTGTTATTCCCTTGATTGCTGTCTCATCTGCTGAGCCAGGCACTCTACATGTGATGTTGGTGGTACTTCGGGAACAGACACCGCCTTGCTGGCTTCAGTTGGGTGGTATTTTCCCTCTAGAATGCTCGTAGGTCATGAGAAACAGTTAATAACACAATCCCTTTCCCAAGATGTTCTGGATTTTGAGTTACATACTGTAATAAAGTTTGTTTTTTTAAAGAATTGCTGCAGCTCATAAGGTGGATCAGACTTGGTGGTAGAGCATGGCATGGATTTGTGCTTGCAAGAGGGGGTTGGTGCGTGTTTTGGAGGTCTCAGTTCTGTTCAAGAGTCTTCCGTTGCCTTCCTTTGCACCCTAATACCTGTAAAATGGAAGAACTGTTGGAAGGTGCCTAACAGCGTGCCTTCTTCTAATTGTAAGATAGCAGAAATTCTCTTTACAGGGCTTATGCTTCTTACTGAGCTGTAGCATATATAATTTCAGATATATCAGCATTATTTATGATCTGAATAAAGACTCCTTGAGCACAGTGTGGTGAGGGAATATAGAGCAACCATGAAATAAAGTAAATCAGGAGCAGGATGAAACTTTCTCCATCAAATCTGCTGATAATCCTTGTCATTGTGTTCTGAAGCGTTTAAGCATGCATCAGTTCTGTCACGTGGGCTATTCTCCCAAGTGTATCTTTGCAAGTTGAAGGCACCTTTTAACCTTGTCCTGGGGTGGTAACTTCGGAGCAAACATCAGAAGTATTTGTACCACACTTCTGTGGTTCACAGGCAGGTGGTGGTTGAAGTGTGCTTGGGGGCTTGTTTCGTACAGCTTCCAAGCCTCTGTTCGAACTGTTTTACCAGCCCCTTCCAGAGATGGAAACCTCTGAAATTCTTTCTTCATGTAGGTAAAAAGCTTTTTGGTAGCTGAGTATCATTTATTCTTTTTGATCTATTAAGTGCTTTAGCTGAAAATGAACTCTGATGGGGCTTCCTGAATTCCTCAGCTCCTCGTAGGAGTGAGGCTCGGATGCCATTCACTTACTCTCCTCCAAGGGTGTTGATGTCCGTCTTTGCATGCAAAATCTTACCGAGTTGCTCAGACTTGTAAAATGTTAAAATATTTTCCTGGCCTTGCTACACAAAGGCCATAAAAAGGGGAAAAAATAATGTGCAATTGTTAAGCCGTAGACATGCAGAACATGGTGGAAGCAGCAGCCTACAGAATAGCTGTATTTATGCTTTCTGTGAACATGCCCTTCTCAAGGCTACCTACAGACATTTTAACACTCAGCCCTCTTTCTGCTTGCTGTCTGCCACCAGCACGCGAGTTTTGTCTAGTAATAAAGCATTCCCTGCTCCCACTGCAGTTCTAAACCTGGTATTTCTGTTGCCAGCTCAGGAGTTGACTGCTTTTCTCCATTAAATTGCCCAGTAGGTTTGTGAGGATTTCCCCTCTAAGAAGGTGACTGGGGTGGCGAGCCTGGTGCCTCCTGAGCTGAAGACAGTGATTTATGCGCAGAAGGGTTAGCGTAGTGTTTCCCTGACAGAGCTCTTGTGTGCAGCTTGTGACCTCGGGCATGCTCTGGTTTCAACCTGCCAGGCTGTACTTCCTTGTGTTGTTGTAGGCTAAAAACAAACTTGAAGTTGATTACCGGTTCTGGTGCTTTCTCACTGTCTATCACCCAACGCAGGGTGTAGTCTGGTCACATGCAGTGGCACTCAGGGAAAAATAAAGGTGGTGCTAGGAAGGTGCATCATCATCAAAGGTCTATTAACTTCAAATAGGTTTTCATCCTTTGTCAAAGGAATGCGAAGCACTTACGAAACTAATCCTGGCTGCTCTATGGGGATAGTTTTTAGGGTTTTGTTTTTGTGTTTCTTTATGATGATGAACAGGGTTTTGTGTCATGAAGTTGAAATACAGAACTTTACTCTTTGTCTCTGAGCATCAACTAAACTTCTGTACAGGAGGATACTTGGCCAGCTCCTTGTGTACTGTATTGGAAGAGGGGCTGATTACAGCTGCTAATCCCAACAGCTCCTTCCATCAGCCAATGTTTACCAGTCTGAACACTGCACTGTAAAATTCAAATAGCATGGAAACAGCATTTGCAAGATGAACCAGCAAAAGTTGATTTTTATCAGTGGTTGATGTTTTCCATTCATTGCTCTATTGCTTATAAACCCTGTTATTGCTCAGGCCAACTTGGAATTGGTGTGTGCACTGTTGGTTTGAACTCAGAGGCTGCCAGACGTGGTCCTTTTATACAACCATGCTGGCAGTGGGAAGTCTTAGTTTAGGGCAGTCTCTGCTCCTGAGATGTGAGCAGGAAAACCACTGGAACTGTCTGCACAGCGGCAGAGAATTCAATGTACCCGCAGGATTTCCAAAGGCAGGCTGTTCCCCAAGAAGTCATCTGTAATTCAGCCTTTGGGAGTGGGGGTTGACTCATGCTTTTAAATTTAAGGAGGATGCAGTTATTTATAAAGATGAATTTAGAAGGAAAGCTAAGGTAGGAAAGCTGGGAGTATGGGTGGGTCTTCAAATTTTGGGTCCCATTGGTGGTGGTAATCAGTTTTCTAGAATCTAATCCTAGTCTTTTGCTGTTGATGCTTACTATTTCAATTAGAGAAATTTAATCCTATTAATTTTATTTTAAGTGGTATTTTTACATGGCCATTTTCCATTTGTAGTTAGCTGAAGCTTCCCAAGACTAGTTCCTCCCTCCTTTTTCCATTCCTGACCCTTACTCCATTGTGTGGACAGGGTCGCAAGCTTCTAATCATTGGAACCACCAGTCGCAAAGATGTCCTGCAGGAGATGGAAATGCTGAATGCTTTCAGCACTACGATTCACGTGCCCAACATTGCGACAGGGGACCAGCTGATGGAGGCTTTGGAGGTGAGAAAAAGTTGAATGACAGCAAATAAGATCAAAATTTGCTGGAAAAGATTGATTTTACAGTAGCTCTGCATTTTGGAACACTGTCCCACTTAACATTATCATAGAATCACAGAAACATAGAGTGGTTTGTGTTGGAAGGGACCTCAAAGATCATCCAGTTCCAACCCCTCTGCCATGGGCAGGGACACCTTCCACTAGACCAGGTTGCTCCAAGCCTCATCCAGCCTGGCCTTGGACTTCCAGGGATGGGGCATCCACAGCTTCCCTGGGCAACCTGTTCCAGTGCTTCACCGCCCTCTCCAGGAAGAATTCCTTCCTGATGTGCAATCGCAATCTCCCTCTTTCCGTTTAACCCCGTTCCCCCTTGTCCTGTCACTACAGGCCCTTGTCAAAAGTCCCCCCAGCTTCCTTGTACCCCCTTCAGGTACTGGAAGGTGCCATAAGGTCTCCCCGGAGCCTTCTCTTCTCCAGGCTGAACACCCCAACCCTCCCAGCCTGTCCCCATGGCAGAGGGGCTCCAGCCCTCGGAGCATCTCTGTGGCCTCCTCTGGACTCGCTCCAACTGGTCGATATCTTTATGTTGGCAACCCCAGAGCTGGACACAGAACTCC